GGTGAGAGGAGGGATCGTGAGGGGAGGTTGACAGAGATGTTTGCGGACGCAGCAGGCTGGGTACGGAAGGGAGATAGGTTGGAGCATCCTGGTGCCGGGTCGTCGTGTACTGCAGATCGACGGGGCAGCATGATGGTTGCACCGCCGTCACGACCGCCCACAGCAGGTGAGGCACAGCGAGATGGTCATCGACATTCGAAAGGGCGATCTTCCACACATGCTTTGCCAGGTGCCCAACCACCTCCAGCATCGCTGGAGGATGACCCTGATCGTGTCACTTTGCAGACGAGCCGTGGAGGTTGTATTTCCACTGCACACAGGATACTGGATGAGGAGCCGCGACGTCAGACAGGTACAGGACCGGGCAGTCGTCGAGCTGCTGGGGGCCGCACGGAGGATTCCGCGACAGATGGGGTGCCCATGCCTAGGGGTAGGAAGACATACACGACTCTGACTGGTGTTTTGGGACGTTCTATTGGCGCGGGTGTTGAGAGAGAGGCGGAGGTCCAGGAGGCAGAGAGGGTGGCAGCCAGAGCAGTTGGCAGTCATGTCGTGTCTGCGTCACAGCATCCACGGGAGGGAGAGGAGACGCGGCGAAGGTGCCGCAAAGGCGGCGAGAGCGCATCATCGACGATGATGACACAAACGACGGGCAGTGCGATGCGCCTTAGACTAGGACTTCGATTTCCCGCCGATATGTTTGTGTGTATCTTTCTTCATTTAGAGTTTCACAGATTTCGTTCTTCTTCTTGATTTTTTTGGTTTTTTTTTATAGTTATTCTTCTTTTATAATATTTCCTCTCGTTTACTTTTTAATTTTTTTTCATATTGACACTACTGTGCAACTCCGTGCTTCCATTGAGATTTCATGTATTTTACCATGCTTCCACTTCTTTTACTTACTTTGGTTACTTCATATTTTCGTTGTTCAGTTTTTTTCGTACCATGGCTTTTGTGTTTGTGTATTGCGGTTTGTTGTACTGTCTTCATTGAGGTAACCATGCAGGAATGTCTGGGGCGGGGTAACATGTCTGGGGGGGTGTGCGAGAATGTCTGGGGAGCGGTAACATGGGTTTACAGAGGGGTATGTGGGAATGTGGGAGGAGGGGTTACTTGGCTTTAATGACGG